TAACATATATCATCACATTTTTATATTAGTGCTACCAGTATTACACCATTAATATTCTAACTTATTTGTAACATTTGAACTTTTGATTTAGTGCAATATTTTGTACTGCCATTAGGGAAAGGTTGCATAAAAATGCAACCTTTTTATTCTGACAGTGTATGATTTCTATTAACATTACAGAATAGAACATGATCAATATTATCTTTCAACGTTCAATTTAAATAATTGTAATTGCACAAACTATGTAGGCTACAATTTCAATTTGTTTATTGTGAAATAACTCAAACATTTATGTTTTTTTTTCTGTCCTCTGATAAGCATTGTTCAGGGCTGCCATTCCCAAAAGCTTTAATGCTTTCTTATGATACTTTTGGGAAACGCAGCCCTGTTTGAATGCACTGTCAGAATTGAGTGAACGCTCTCTGTGATAGATTAGGTCTGTCTTGCAACATTTGCGTATCTTCAGATGAGCAGGAAAATAGTTCTATCCTACACAATTACTCGCTAACAAAGGTTATTCGTCCAATTCAATGCATATTGTACGCATTATTATTATTATTATTATTATTTTTGTTAAATAAATAAAACCACTGGTAAATAAAACGCACCTTAGTATCGATATTTTTTGTTTGAGTATCGATACTTTCGATACTCGCGTCAGTATCGATATATCGATACTTCGGATCGATACGCCCATCCCTACCCTAGCGTTTTCCGACGCAGCTCGAGTTCCTGAAGAGGAACTTCCCATAATTTACGATAATTTCAGAATTTTGTGGCACTTTAAATGATGGTCGTTGTAAATCATAGGTCTTCTATACTCATTGATCTAGTTGTGGATCCTACGTCTACTGTCATGATTGTGAGGAGAACGTGAACGTGGTGTTACATGTCTTCCATCTCATCTCACGTTATGTCTTCTCGGCCAATCTTTGTGGAGAATGACTCTCTCTCACGACCTCTCTCAAAGCTGAGGTCGATAGTTTAGCAATATAGCACGTTTGACTCGTGTACAATAATTTTCTTCCAAATACAATCATTTTGAGCTTAGTGTGATACTTGGATATTTACAATCTGGCAACACTGAAGAAAACATTCTGGTTAATTCTAAGGGTCAAAGAGAATGTAGAAATGATGAAGTAACTGGTGCAAAAAACCTTGACTAATATTATGATAAACCTTCAGGGAATAAAATGTCTTTTAAATGTCTTTACTGTCACTTTTGATAAATTTAAGTTGTCCTTGCTAAAATAACAGTATTAATTTCTTTTAAAAAATCCTACTGACCCTAACTAACTTCTGTATGTAAATGTATACATTTTGTAATTTAAGCATGTGCCACCATTATTTAATTTTCTGAAAACAGACACAGACAGGACAGACAGGAACATACATGGATACACATACCAAAGCATGCTTGTATCAGGGCTAATACAGATGCCTCTTAGTAAATGAGTGGTATCTGCTCACATACTTGTTCCAAATTCACATGTGCCAAGAGTGTGAAGCTTTCCGCAGAGGCGTAATCAAATTGTCTAGTACTCAAGGCCTATGAAAGCACACCATCTTTCTAATGAGAGCAGTGGGTGCAGAACTTTAGTAATGAATGACTCATCCTGTACAGCAGCTACTGGGCCCGATCTGTCCTGTCGATTACACGCCACTTGCTAATGACGCCGAGCAGTGATAAATTAGCTGATGAGTACCAGATCGTGGAGTGATGAAGATAAAACAAGCCGAATGCCATTATTAAAATGCCATTACTGCCCAGCTAATCTGTTTCATGGAGCTTAATTTGAGCATTTAACAGCAGAACCTGAGAGAGAACGTGTAATGAGTTCTTTAGTTACAGAAGATGTAGATTTGTGGTGGGCTTGCATTTTAAGGACACTCCACTTCTGCTGCGGAAAGAAAAGGTTGAGCAGTAAATACTGTCAGACTCTGTTCCGTGTTTTGTGGTTGTTTTGCTCCTCATGTGCCTTCCTTTCCCATGTTTAATTTGTCCCAGGTGTTTCCCATGATGTTTCATTGCTCCCAGGTGTGTCTCGTCATCCCCTCCTCCTGTGTGTGTGTATAAAAAGTGTTCCCAGTCCGTAGTTCTCTGTCCGCTGTTAAACGTCTTCCTGAGTTCGTCTCCCTGGGTTCCTGTAAATAAAGTCTTGGTAAAGTATTCTCCAGTGTCTCCTTGTTCCTCGTGTGTGTGCACCGTGACACAGACGCAAACTTACCGTTTCTTTATATTTTTGGAAAAGTCCTACTTAACTTAAGTGGGGCAGCGAAGAAGAACTAGGACAAAATGCCAAGCAGATGAACTAAATTCACACAGCTATGAATCAAGTTATCAAGTGTTTGTGTGGTAAATGCTACTAAAACTGGAGGCGTTTCAGCAAAGCAGGATGAAAATTATAGGCAAAGTTAAATGATTTTATTTGAAAGTCACAGCTGCAGATCATCTTCACTTCCCCACCTGCATTATCATGTTCACTAGTACACAAACTACACAATGCACAATGGTGAGGAACTGCTCATAACAAGGTCACTTCCTCTGACATTTGTGTTCATTCTGGAACATGAATTAATTTTTGCAGCCTAGTGAATGAATGTGAATGAATGAGTCCATTATAGAAAAGATACTATTAAAATACTATCACTTCTTTTTCTGAAGGTGACAACTGTGTGGTGTTTTTTGCGCAGATAATAAGATAGTAGTATTGGTAAGTTTATATTAAAGCTGATGACAATTTTAACTAGCATTTACTTTTACTATCAATGCTAAAAACGTTTGCTCCTAATTTTTTATGGAAACTGTAATAGATTTATTTTCAGGATTCTTTGATGCATATAAAGTTAAAAAGAACAGCATTTATTTAAAATAGAAATATTTTGTAACATTATAAATGTCTTTACTTTCACTTTTGATCAAATTAATGCATCCTTGCTGAACAAAAGTATTCATTTCTTTACGAAAAACTGACCCCACACATTTAGTAGTGTGTTAATTATAATGCAAACAAATATATACAAACAAATCTAAATCTCCTGTAAATGTAAAATTCTAAGCTATTAAACAGAAAACACTGAAACAAAAAGCAGGCCTGCAAAATTAATTGAATAAATGATCAAGATTATGATTATGACTGCTGCATGAATACAATGGCAAATCAGAGGCCTTTAAAATAGCTTAAAGGTCTATTAATGACAACCGGCTTTAGTAGATTAGATCAGTGATTATAAAAAGAAGTGTTCTAGTGTTGTCACAATCCTTACTTTGACTAATCCTTACTTTGACTAACAGCTTATTGTTATGCTGAAAACTGCTGTCAATTTTCGGAGGCATTTTCTTTTATTGGAATTTTTTCCTGCTCCCGTTTTCAGGACATACAGTAATCAGCTCGCTGGTTGTACTTATACAATTAGATAAATGCTTATTTTTATTATGAAGACAATAACTTTTATTGGCCAAAGCAGATGATTGGCTGATACACTGATGTATCACTAATTAATATAACCAATACAATAACAGACCATGGCTAAAAATGTGATAAGCCAAATAAACTTAATATTTAATAATTTGTTTCAAATGCATTTAAAACAGTCATGTATCTATATCTGTGCATGGTGTGTTCCTAGATGCGTAGTGAAGGGATACAAATATATTATTAGAGTTTAATATGAGAGACATTGGGTTGAAATGAAGTTAGTGTTTAGCTGAGCCTACCGGTTATAAAGGCTGTGGAAGCCTTACCACTGTGATCCAACACAAAATCGTCCTGCGCGTAACGGTACTTCTCAGGCCCGCACGCGATGAACACGTCATCGTCCCCAAAAAAATCTTGCAAACATGTAATCTGGACAGAGAGAGGAAGGGGTGGGGGAAGAGAAAAAGAGAGAAACACTGTTTGAGAAATGAATGGAAGTAACCATGTGACTGATGAACTGATAAAGCGTGTAGTAGTTCACAATACTGCACTGCAGAATATCTAGACCAGGAGTTTGAAATACCAATAGCTGGACTCAGACTGCAGACTGTTTGCACATTTATTTTCACAAATGTATTTAAACATAATAACATCTAAATGGAACTGTAGGTACTACACTCTTATTGATAGCTAAAACCATGGTTGTAGAATTTTATCAATGAGATGTACTTTCAGCAGATTTATGTGGGTGCAGATTCCGTGTCGGCCTACCAATAGCTAAAAACATTTTAATTTTAATACTGAGTCAGATCACCTTGAATACAGCAAGAAAATGGAAAACATACCAAAAAGGATGGATTTAAGTTGTATTTCAATATTGTTCTACATGGAGAAAAATACCTGGGAAGGCCAAACATGGTCTTTTAGATGCTGATGCACTGAAATGAATTTTTTACTGAAACCAAAATTAAAGCTTTCATTTTGCTGAAAACCAAAATGTTTATTTAACGGGATAGTTCACCCAAAAATGAAAAACCTGTCATTAATTACTCACCCTCATGTCGTTCCAAACCTGTAAGACCTTCGTTCATCTTCGGAACACAAATTAAGATATTTGTGATCAAATCTGAGAGCTCTCTGACCCTGCATAGACAGCAAGGATCCTGACACGATCAAGGTCCAGAAAGCTAGTAAGGACATCGTTACAATAATCCATGTGACATCAGTGGTTCAACCTGTAAATGTAAAATTCTAAGCTATTAAACAGAAAACACTGAAACAAAAAGCAGGCCTGCAAAATTAATTGAATAAATGATCAAGATTATGATTATGACTGCTGCATGAATACAATGGCAAATCAGAGGCCTTTAAAATAGCTTAAAGGTCTATTAATGACAACCGGCTTTAGTAGATTAGATCAGTGATTATAAAAAGAAGTGTTCTAGTGTTGTCACAATCCTTACTTTGACTAATCCTTACTTTGACTAACAGCTTATTGTTATGCTGAAAACTGCTGTCAATTTTCGGAGGCATTTTCTTTTATTGGAATTTTTTCCTGCTCCCGTTTTCAGGACATACAGTAATCAGCTCGCTGGTTGTACTTATACAATTAGATAAATGCTTATTTTTATTATGAAGACAATAACTTTTATTGGCCAAAGCAGATGATTGGCTGATACACTGATGTATCACTAATTAATATAACCAATACAATAACAGACCATGGCTAAAAATGTGATAAGCCAAATAAACTTAATATTTAATAATTTGTTTCAAATGCATTTAAAACAGTCATGTATCTATATCTGTGCATGGTGTGTTCCTAGATGCGTAGTGAAGGGATACAAATATATTATTAGAGTTTAATATGAGAGACATTGGGTTGAAATGAAGTTAGTGTTTAGCTGAGCCTACCGGTTATAAAGGCTGTGGAAGCCTTACCACTGTGATCCAACACAAAATCGTCCTGCGCGTAACGGTACTTCTCAGGCCCGCACGCGATGAACACGTCATCGTCCCCAAAAAAATCTTGCAAACATGTAATCTGGACAGAGAGAGGAAGGGGTGGGGGAAGAGAAAAAGAGAGAAACACTGTTTGAGAAATGAATGGAAGTAACCATGTGACTGATGAACTGATAAAGCGTGTAGTAGTTCACAATACTGCACTGCAGAATATCTAGACCAGGAGTTTGAAATACCAATAGCTGGACTCAGACTGCAGACTGTTTGCACATTTATTTTCACAAATGTATTTAAACATAATAACATCCTGTAGGTACTGTAGGTACTACACTCTTATTGATAGCTAAAACCATGGTTGTAGAATTTTATCAATGAGAAGCAGATTTAGCAGATTTATGTGGGTGCAGATTCCGTGTCGGCCTACCAATAGCTAAAAACATTTTAATTTTAATACTGAGTCAGATCACCTTGAATACAGCAAGAAAATGGAAAACATACCAAAAAGGATGGATTTAAGTTGTATTTCAATATTGTTCTACATGGAGAAAAATACCTGGGAAGGCCAAACATGGTCTTTTAGATGCTGATGCACTGAAATGAATTTTTTACTGAAACCAAAATTAAAGCTTTCATTTTGCTGAAAACCAAAATGTTTATTTAACGGGATAGTTCACCCAAAAATGAAAAACCTGTCATTAATTACTCACCCTCATGTCGTTCCAAACCTGTAAGACCTTCGTTCATCTTCGGAACACAAATTAAGATATTTGTGATCAAATCTGAGAGCTCTCTGACCCTGCATAGACAGCAAGGATCCTGACACGATCAAGGTCCAGAAAGCTAGTAAGGACATCGTTACAATAATCCATGTGACATCAGTGGTTCAACCGTAATTTTACGAAGCTACGAGAATACTTTTTGTGCGCAAAGAAAACAAAAATAAAAACTTTTTTCAACAATTCGTCTCCTCCACGTCACCCTGGCACCATTTTGGAGAGTATCACATACGAAAACAACGTATGCAACATATGTATGCAGATACATTGTTTGCGCTTTGATCTGAACGTAAACAACATATCCGCATACATACGTTGTTTACGTATGTGATACTCTCCAAAATGGTGCCAGGGTGATGCAGAGGAGAGGAAATGTTGAAAAAAGTTGTTATTTTAGTTTTCTTTGCTCACAAAAGGTATTCTCGTAGCTTTGTAAAATTACGGTTGAACCACTGATGTCACATGGATTATTGTAACGATGTACTTACTACCCTTCTGGACCTTGATCGTGTTAGGATTCTTGCTGTCTATGGGAGGGTCAGAGAGCTCTCGGAATTCATCAAAAATATCTTAATGTGTGTTCCGAAGATGAACGAAGGTCTTACAGGTTTGGAACAACATTAGGGTGAGTAATTAATGACAGAATTTTCATTTTTGGGTGAACTATCCCTTTAATAATCAGTCAGTCAATCAATCAATCAATCAATCAATCAATCAATAATCGTTTTAATCCATGCTGCTGCTGAAATTGATTTAGATATGGGATCTGTTATTCCATATTATTACACGGCTCTGTGGAAAATTCAGTTCTGATTGGTCAGTCACCACATTCCGAGGTATGTCATTTCCCGATAACAACTGGTAAAAACTAATAACACAGGCTCATCCGGATAACGGAAGTCGGTGCTATTTGCTTGCTGGTAACATTTTTTGTTCATGGAAGCTTTGCGTTTGGTTGGCTAATAAAATATTAAAACTTAAATCAATATTCTCTGTACAAAAAATTTAATTATGTAATCCTGGTATCGCAGACTTGGGGCCCTATCATACACCAGGCGCAATGCGGCGCAAGTGTTTTTTGCTAGTTTCAGCCCGACACAGTTGCCGTTTTCACATCCTGCACCACGTTGTTGCAATGAAAAAGATTATTATTGTGTAGGCTACATAAATATAAAACTGCCTACATGTCATAATGGATATTCATTGCATGTATCAGAATTAGGCTACCTATTTGCTC